AATTAGTAGATAAATGCAAACGGTTTAAGTGAAAAAATAAAAATAGAAAACTCGTTAACCGGAGATTTCGAAATAATAACCACCGCGACTACACTAAAAGTGGTTTGAAACTCCTCGTGCGTAATTGCTGTTGCCGAATATTATTCTAATTACACCAATGTATATTGTGTTGCGATCGGGCGCCCCGTTAATATTTGTATTTTTAAAAAAAATGGCCGTCCGATGAAAATAAACATAATAATTTAGATTTTATTACATTTGATAATAATAATTTCATGTTTATACGGCGCTATAAATTTAAATAAATGTCCTCGCTTCTTAAGATAAAATAAACGTATAACGGCAATTTTTGGTTTTGCTGGCACTTTCCATAATATCATTAGCATTAATGTGTAATGTTATTTTGGAATTTAAATAAAGGAATAATCGTTTCTAGTAAATCATTCCGAGTGTGTTTCGCAAAAATTATTTCAAATTTATACGTTTGCTTATAGTTTTTCGGGCTTAATTTTTTTTTTATTTCTAGTTTTTTTCTGTGCCCGGAACACGGCGCAGTTAATCCGCAACAATTTTAAAGGTCAATCGTCTACAGGGTTCGTAAATTAGTTACATACCGAATAAAGCGATCTCTTCGAATAGGATGTCTTACGAAACTTTTTTAAGCTACGGTTTTATCAAAATATATTTTTCGATAGAAAATCGCATTCTCCGTTGCACTATCAATATACAATGTCGAAATTACGGAATAAATTGTAATGCTATGCGGTTGATTCTCGAAATATACTCGTCTCAACATTTTGTTTAAAAATCCGGGTACAATGCGCGTGCCGGAGTATCACGGCGTTCGCAGGGTGGCCGGAGTGTTAAGAGTTATACACCCCCCTCCCCTATTGAATTAAAAGTACTCCGAATTCGAGCGCCTATTGATTTAATCTTGAAATGCGTTACAAGTCACAAATGTTTCACCCAAGTCACAAGGAATAGCTTGATTTCTTTGGACCCTCGATTCTCACTAGCTACATGGGGTCCCATCAAAAATTCCTTTGGCATGCCACTGTTTTTATATAATTAATGTGTATATACATATTATTACCGTTGCCCGTTCATATCACTTATGCCGTTAAAACCATAATAAAAACTGTATTAATTTCTGTACTTATAATCGAAGTGTTCACTTAAAAATTGTCCTACGGTAATAATAAGGTTTTTTTTTTTTTTTTAAACTTCAAATTTTTTATTTAGGCGATTTTAGTTTAATATTTACGTAATCGATACACGTTTCCCTGTGAACAGCGTCTATAAACCATAAATAAGATATAAAGTACCCCGCGCGCGGAACGGGATATTGTATACTCTAAAAAAAAAAAAAAAAAAAAAAAAAAAGCAAAAATAAACACTGCTCATAATACTTCCGAGGAATATTATATATACTCCTTTTTTTTTTTTTTTTATACTTGTAATATAAGAAGTGCGCACAGTTTATTTAAAATAACTATGCATCTGTTCTACGAATCGCAAGTATGCATTTTTATTTTCACAACGTTTAATGTATAACAAATTCCGATATGCGCGTTAGAAATGAGATAGGCGAGCCACTATATACACCTATATCCTGCATTATTCATATTCGAGCGTATCGGACCGCGTCAGGTCACGCATACGCAAACGTATTATTTATTATCATACGCCTGACTTTCTGGTGTGGACGAAGATTTTTTATTTTTTTCTTAAATCTCTAAATAAGATGTATCGAGATTCGATGAACGGTACAGAGATCAATTCATTGAAATCATTATATAAGAGTGTATAATATTATACGGAAAGGATTATAAATTTCGAGATTTCAGGCAATGCGAGAAAAAAATATCTCCCGTAAATGCCTCGAGAAATGTACCTATTTTCCCCCGGTAATAAGTTTTTCCCATTTATTAGGAAAACCAAAAAATTACCTCGAAGTACTTTCCCAGTTCAATTTCATCCAGAAAAAGTGCTATCATTGAAAATCAGAGCAAAGTTGCTGGCGGGAAAGTTGTTCACGGAAAAAAAAATAAATATAATTTTAAAACCAAAGCATTCCTAGCTCCGCTCAGAATTTAAAAGTATGTATTATACATAATATGTTTGTTATTTTTTCTTTTGGCAGTTTTAGTTCAAATTTTGACGAAAATATTATCATGTTTATGTTTTTGTGCGTTTTCAAGGATAATATTATTCTAACGCCCGACTATTCACCCGGTCGATAACATATTATACACACTATGAATGTGGTTTGTGTTGCCACTGCTGTCGCATTGTTGCAATCTTATTCATTTAAATAAACAAGTTATAGGACATTCAATAACATTTGTAACGATTTCAGGTCTATTGGGACATTAGACATTAATGTACGACCTACATAGCCATTATTCGATATCAAAATACAAAGTTGCTTTTGTTTTAACAAATTATGACGTAAAACGATTGGTGTGAAACAAATTAAAATAGAATTTCGAATAGCGTTTAAATGATATTTATTTAGAAGAAAGCAAACTTCTGTAAATGCATTTTAAATCTTTCAAATGTCATATCTTATTAAATACCGATTTGAATATTTTAGACGGAAATATTATAATAAAAGAGCAGACACTATTGATGGATACGCCACTGTTGTTTAGATGAGAAGTCAAGAAGGTATGGCACATACAATTATTTAATTTAATTTTAATTATAAACAAGGATAAATCGTCATTGACGAAATATCATTCTTAAAGAAATTCGGTTAAGCTCGTCGCGATTTTTACACATTCATGAAAATTTGAACACAAGATGATCATAAAAAAAAAAACTACTGCATTACACTCGACATTTTTGGTTCTTCCATTAACTATTACTTTTAGTAAAGCTCGTGTTTAAATTTCAAGCGTTTCAGTACGGACAAAAAATATCATCTATATAGAACCGAATGAAAACTATACAAAATCGAAAATAGCAAATTCTTAACAATAGTTTGATCACTTCTAGGAAAGGCTAATAAAAGTATTCTAAAATTTCAAATCTCAACGGTTAATTTTTAATAGACTTACAGAAAAAAAAAAATCATCATAAATAAAAATATTATTAAAGCCGTAAACTTTTACGTTTTTCCTTATTACTAATAATTTTACAAAGGAAATAAAATTACGTAATCTTCTAAGACACCAAATTTAAAGAATTTTCTTTCAAGAAAAATGCTACTCTTGAAATTCTGAACAAGAGTTCTGGTAAAAGAATAAGATCAAAAAAATTTAAAATAATACAACTTTTATTGCTGTAAATAAAGCTCCTATAAGTTCTTTGCTTTCTATACGATTTTTTTCAGTTATTCCGAATATGATGAAAACTGTAAAAAAATTCAAACAATGACCTCCATAAATATACCCTCAACTAAATCCAAAATTCTATAAAAAAAAAAAATCTCTCTTGTCGTTTTTTGATTGGAGCGCGTGATTTCTGGTAGAAAATGTGTACGCTGAAGACAGAATATATATACATAAAAAAAAAAAACATATAATCATAGTAAAATCAATACATTTCTTGATACGCTCAGAATATAAAATTTAAACAAATAAAGCCTTTATTGCCATAAATTTGTCTTTCCCCCCCCCCTTTATTACGATAATTGATATGGAAAAATCCAAAAAACGATTTTTGTTCCGCAACAAATAGATCTAAAACGCAACAAAAAGCTCGCTTGTCGTTTTTTGATCGGGGCAAGATTTCCGGTAGAAAAATCGTTCATCGACACGGTCGAAATAAATAAATAAGTACACGTCTCATTAAAACCAATGTGAATTCCACGCTACGCTCAGAAACTAAACTATATCACGTTATTGCAACAACATTTGTACGTTTTGCATTGTACAAATGACATATTATTATAATATTATGTATCGACCACTATCGTGTCCGCTAAAAAATCGCTAAAGAACTGCTAAGGAATGCAAAAAGTTACACAATTCCAGTGGCAACAAAAAGATCCTCCGACAGAGATAATATTGTTATAATTGTAACTGCACACAATGAAGGAACTCGAGTTGACGGTTTGGTTTTATGCGTACTTTTGGTTCAGTAAAAAATACATCGTATACAGCGATAATAGTAACAAGTGAGCCCGATTATTAGCTTAAACAATTAAACTGTTTGGATCCAAACAATCAAATTATCACTGATAACAGTCTGATGAGAAGTGCGCACGGCCGAAGTACAAATCGAGCGTATTTGTTCGGTGATAATCTATAACTATGGCTAAATCGAATAATATTTTATCACAGTTATATGCCCATACTAAGGTGACGATATTTGAAAAAATAAAAAAAAAAAACCAGGACAAAATAATCTCAGTAATACATTCAAAGTAATATTTATTAATTATTACAGTTTTTTTTTTCTTTGTTAATTTTCCATAATTACGCCTGTATTATTAATTATTTTAAATATACCCGTACATTGAGACGTCCCGGTTCGGTCGGCCATGTTTGAGGACCGACCCGAGCGCCCAGTCGACTACCCGCCCAGTGGGAAGGTCGCCAACCTAGGACCGAGGTCCGAAGACCGGAGTCCTAGGATTTTTGTGAGGGTAAAAAAGGAGAATTTAAACAAATAAACTCGCGTTTTCTCGGGGGAATAATGTAGAATTGTTTTATTAATTTATCAATAAAAAAGTGAAAATCAAGTTAATGCACCGGAAAAGCACAGGGGCATAAAAACTGTCACTTGTGAAAGAACGGACAATAGGTACGATTCTGACATTGACATAAATATATATGGGATTATAAACAAATATCTACAAACAATGTATAGTTTAAATACATGTACAATGATTGTGGCGTCAACCAGTCGTAAGTGTTGTCCGGATAGTGGCATCACGGGGAACGTGCGGGCCGGTATTTATTATACGCATGGTTAATGATGAATTCACATTAACGTGTGTGTGTATGTGTGTTGATCGATATTGATCCCACGTGGAACGTGGTTCTCGGGCACCTTATGTATCGGGGAGACCTCGGCGGGTGACCACCGGGAAGGGTAGCGGAAACGCTTTTCGTTCCATCTTGTCCGGTCCGTAGTTTCGGCGGCCCCCTACGGGTGAACCTGCGGGATGCGTCCGAAACGGGGAAAAATCGATCTGCGTACGTGTCTTCCTATTTTGGATGCTCACGCGCGTGGACGCGAAGCCTAGCGCTTAGAGGGGATAGAGAACAAGAGAAAACAACAAAATACGTTTCGGCCCGTCGCACTTGGGATGTGGACCGCGGGGACCGGCACGGCGGGACGGACACGCAAAAATCTAGCCGGTCGATCCCCATAAGCATATCGGGAGGATTTAACATAAAAACAAAAACATTTATGTAAACACGTCCGTACGGAGAAACCTCTGATTAAATTACCTTAAAAACTTACCGACGGGGTATCGGCCAACTACTGAATCATACACGCGCACATTACCTTCGTTCTCCCGAAGACGTCGGACCGGATCGGTACTCACTTCATTGGGTTGTTCGAGGCACCGTCGCGAATTCGTGCCAAGGTACACGACCTATTATCGGCGGCGGACATTTGCGAATCCGTGTAATACGCGGGCGCACATTATCGAGAGAACCGTACCTAAAGGCCGTGCGGCGACGGAAACTCGTCACGAGACGAGGCGCGCACACGGAGAAGGAAAAGAACGAACAAACCGCGGACAACCGGGTGGCGGAGCGCGGGGACGTTCGTGGCACGTCGCCGCGGGCCGACGTTTTCGGCGATAAGGGGAAACGCGATACGATTGGCCGTTGACCCGTGGTCGGAAATAGAATATTATCGCGAATCGCAACCGATCGCGATCGCGTAAACCTTTGCGCGGCGGCTGGTGGGGGGGGGGAAGCGGGGAAATTATTGTCCGCGATGACGCGACCCGGGCGTAATCCATTATTATGGTCGACCATATCGACGGTTGGTATGCTTGTCCCCTGATAACGGGAAATGGTCGGTTTTGGACGTTACCTCGGGTGTACTGTCACCGGTGTGTATCGATTCTTGTGGCCGTTGTTCATCGTGGACACGATCGTAATTACCGTCATTAGTGCGTGCAACGAATATTTCTGTAAGTTTTTTTTTTCGAAAATAAAATACAGTTTTAATAATCCGTACGAAACTGTAAAACGTTCACGTCCAATCGAATAGAACAAGAGTTAGTGCGGAATAATCGGCATCGGCGTGAAAAACAGGCCGAGAATCGTCGCGAAACAAGTCCGCCGGGACAACAGGACGCGGTGCTGACAGAAAAAAAAAAGAAAACCCGGACGTCACCCGGAGACTCTATACGGTCCACTCACAACGGGCAAGTCGATTATAAATATTATTTTTTATTTTCCAAACCGGGAACGCCGAATTACTATATTATTGTTTTGCCCGTGTCCCGGCGTCGTTCCCGCGCGAGAAACGTTCGTGGTTTTCCGTCAATCGCGCCATTCACACTGTCGGCCGGCGGTTAACCGAACTAGCGACAACGACAGGCGACGACGCGCGAAACTCCCGGTTGCGATAAGCGATACGTTAACCGTTTTTTTTTTTTTTTTGTCGTACGCGATTCACTTTTGTGCGGTGCACCGTGGTGCGCACGCGGTCCGCCATTTCGGCTCGACCGTCGCGGCGCGTAATGAACACTCGCGGGCACCCGTGATTTACGTTAACGCGGTGAATTTGCGCGGGATAAACGCGCGGCGATTGCGGTAAACCGCGCGGGTCGTTTGTAATGAAAAGAAAAAAACGATTTGCTCGTTACGGCAACGAGAGCCGGCGGGCAACGACGGGAAACGTCCCGGGAAAACGTTACGCCCGTATTGCCCCGTCGGGTTGTGCCCGTACGATGAGTCTGACGCGCCGTGCGGTTTTTTTTTCTCCCGTCTACAAAACGCCCGTGAATGTCGTCTCAGAATATTGCCGTAAAAAATGTCAGGATAGTAATGTTATTTTTTTTATCGATAAATTGAATAACCTACAGTTAAAATAATTGTCCGGCGCGTACGAAATAATAATATCGTAACGCGTAATGTTCGAGCTTACGTAACGTTATGTAAGCAATAAACAACAATTTTCCCACAGTCGTTGTTTTTTTTTTTTTCTTTTCTTACGGACACACGAAATGCGCACAGATAAGTATATAGATAGATGAAAAAAACATAAAAAAACTAGTTTCGATTTGCTTTGACGACCGGCCGGACGGAGTAATCGAAATCGAATTTTTAATCTGTTAATAACAGGCGCGCTTACCTGCGAAACGGTTAATGCCGTGCATCGCGCGATTTCGGTTTTACGGAGCGCGGTCGTTTTGCCGTCCGCGAATTGCGCGGTCTTAAGTATGTATTGCGATTACACGCATGTTATTTTTGATTATTTTTTGTTTAAGCGTGCAGCGGCGTACGCAGATGGGTTACGTTAAAAAATTACACGCGTTTATACATATCAACATGTCGTGTCGTTTAACAATGCGCGTCTGTAATAATAGCGCGTCGTGCGTCGACCCCCGTCGTGTTCGCGTTTGAACCGATTTCCGCCGACTAATTCCACTGTAAATCCGGGGCTCGGGTCAAAAAGGACCCGCCGACCCGTTTTTGATCGATTTCGGGAAAAGTCCAGCACAAAACGCATTTACGGTCCTTTTCGGTATTTTGCTTTGATAATAGTCATTTTTCCGACAGCGCCGGTCTTCTGAAATCTCGCAATAATGACTGTTGTGAGATACGTCCTTGTATCGCCGGAAAAAGCGCAGTGCGCAATTTTCTATGATCGGCCGTACATAACTCATTTTCCCCAAAATGCGACGTCGGCCCTTTTCGACCCGAGCCCCAGAAATATACCGTGTGAAAAAAATTTAATTAACAATAATGTTTAGATTACGTTCGTTTTTAATTTTTATACATTTTCGCGTACGGTGAAAAAAATACCCAATGGACGGGGTGGGGGGGGACCTAAATCGTTAAACTTTAAACCGTCGTAATTTTACGTTTAACGCATAGAGGTACCTAGACGAGAATAACGTATAAGAAATTTGCACGAGTGTTTTTGTTTTTTTCTCTTTTACACCACTCTGGCACTCTCAGTATTATAAATTATTCTGTACACGATGCGATATCCTGCGAAATGTTAAACCGATCTAAAGTCGATACGAGCTTATGCATATTTGTTTTGTTTTACTCTTTTATACTGGGTACTCTCGTACCGTGAGTAGATTGTAGGTACCGGTATTGGTGTTGGATCGCCAACAAAACGCTCAATAATATATTTAAAAAACAAATACGGCGTCTCTGCGATACAAGGTTTAATAAATGTATATATTTTTTTTAATATTAAACCGTAGTTATCCTCCGTATCGAAATCGCTTTCGTGATACGACGGCGATATCTTTTTCAAATAGAATTAACATAATAAATCCCGCGAAGTGTCTACTACGCAATATCACGAAATCACGCATTTTTCGTTGCATTATTAAAGCCGTTGTTGTCCGGTAAAATGCTACCGAATGTGTTTTGTTTTTTTTTTTCCTAGAAAACCAAATATATTTTAAGACGAACGAATTTTCGTTTGGTCGTTCCGAAAGACAGGAGCAATATGATTTCTAATTCGTCGGCCAAAATAACACTACGACAATTTGTAATATTTTTTTTTTATTTTATCAATAAATGCGGCGTGTTCCCCCCCGAGTCCAAGACGGCCTGATCATATTATCGTTATGATTATTGTCCCAGCAGATTTCACGGCGAATAACACTCGCGTATTTTTTATAACCATTAATGTGCATAAATATAACGTAACGAAATACGACTTACGGTTTTGATGTTTTCACGTCTTCGGTCATTGCCGGAGACCAAACCCGCCGTCTATGACGTAATTTCAAACAGAGCACGTTCATTCTAGAGAAAAAATAAAAAAAAAACTCATAAGATATGTTCTAATTACACGGGTACCACGGTCCGGTAAACTATGCGCCCCGCGGTTGATTATTGTCAATCCGTGTACGTGCGAACCCAGACCCGCGCCGCGCGCGGCGTTTTCGATTCGCACGCGGAATAAACCGATTGCCGCGGTCCCGGGGAACCGTCAGTCGTTCGCGGCGATCTCAAGAGAGAGAGAGAGAAAAAAAAAAAAAAAAAAAAACGGG